AACATGGGTTGATTTTCACATTGGTCTGAACAAAAATAGCAGAAGGGCTTATTAAAAATGCAAAATTATTCTCTGCCAGCAGGAAGCGCTTTCGGAACGGCATAAATAAAGCATTTCCCCGGTAACGGCTGTACACAAAGCAGCACAACACGTGACTTTGAAACGTGCAGCTCTCATTTTTATTTAATTAAATCATAGCCTTTTAAAGTTTATTCGTCACATTAAGCCATATCGCAATTCTTGTCTTACCAGCGTCCCCAAATTTAAGACCTCCTGAAATCATAATTAATACTTTCTTATACTAATTAAGACTTTTCATGGCCTTAAATTTGATTAAACTAAATTTAAGACTTTAAGGACCCGTCAACTTTCCTAATTTTTGAGAATTGCATTGTTTTTCACTCACTGAAAGTTTCATCTGTTTGCGCGCCGCTCTCTTCACTGCACATCTGAATGTAGCAACAGTAAACTCTAGTAGCAACCCGTGGCGCCATATGACCCAAACGGCTCTACTGAGCTTACCTTGATGTGCTTGATATAAATTTGATTTTGTTAGAAAATAGCGTTTAGCATTTATTTATTTCATTATGTCAAAAGTCTTGTGTTATGTGGCAAATTATGTGGTTCGGATGGTCCTCCAGTTGGCGACCCCTGATCTAGAGGGAAGGAGCTTAGTTGATTAAAGATTCCTCTCTTTTTTTGGTGTCTAATTTTATTGATCTTTCAAATATAACAGAAAACATATTGTAACTTTCAAAATCGAAACATCCTTTCCGGTCCAAAAGACCACTTACTGAAACTTTAATATGACATAATTCTACAGTTTTAACTTTCAATCAGGGGTGATAGTGAGGGTGAGAATTGTTGGTAAGATTAAAAGTAGAAAAATTGGAAAATCTGATTCTTCAAAGCGTGTGAGATCAGTGGGAGACAAATATGGCATGGAACGGAGTGAAATTAATTAAAATAGTCTCTGCTATGATTCAGAATGCAAGGGACTTACTTGGGGGCTTTTTGCATTATTTTTACTTCCACTTGAAGTACAGAACTGAGAAAAATTAAGAGGGAATGAGTCAAAAAGAGCTCATGCATGAGAAAATGAGACTGGGGTGATGTCAGCCTCACTAATTCTGAATGTCAGGTCAACAGTGTGTGTGGGGGGCAGAAAAGAGAAAAAACTCGAGAGAGGAGGGAGGCACCAGCAGGTACTAGCTGTCAAATTCCAGCATGACCTTGCCCTTGATGCTTTTCTCACACTCTCTTAATTGCACACAAGATAGTACGAGATGAGCAGGTGAGAAAAAAGAACAAAGTTTGTGTCTCTACACACTGAATGCCATGTTTACTTAATGTTACTAAAGTCTATTACATTTTGTTTTTAATTAAGAAAAATTTAAGGGTTTTAGGAATGCAGCCATCAGACATAAAGCACAATAATAAACTAAACTAAATTTGTATATTAACGTTCAAAGGTTTGGGGTCAGTAAGATTTATTATTTTTTTTTAATGAAAGAAGTTAATATTTTTATACAGCATGGATGCATTAAAATTGATTAAAAAGTGATAATAAATTTTTTTTTTTTCATTGATTAAAATTATTTTTTTCTTTCAAATAAATACTGTTCTTTTGAACTTTCTATTCATTAAAGAATCCTTAAAATATATCATGGTTGTCAAAAAGATATTAAGCAGAACAACTGTTTTCAACACTGATGATAATCTTTATTTAGCACCAAATCAGCAAGGTGTGACACTGAAGACTGGAGTAATGGCTGCTGAAAATTCAGCTTTGCCATCACAGGAATAAATTACATTTTAAAATATATTTAAATAGAAAACGGTTATTTTAAATTGTAATCATATTTCAAGATTTTTATTTTTAATCAAATAAATGCAGACTTGGTGAGAATAAGAGACTTCTTTAAAAAACATTTTAAACTAACTCACTCTCTATCACTTTCTTTCAGGCCTTACTTCAGACTCATGACGTTGTGGCCCATGAGGTGTACAGTGACGAGGCACTGAGGGTCACCCCACCCCCCACATCACCATATCTCAACGGAGACTCACCTGATAGCACGAACGGAGACATGGACATAGAGAATGTTACACGAGTGCGCCTAGTTCAGTTCCAGAAGAACACAGATGAACCAATGGTATGAGTTACAACTTTACTGTACATTTACACACACACGTATATAAACCTACAGACTTTTATGCATAGCATGAACATGACATCAGTTTCTAGTGGTTATGATCCCCCACTTTCAAAGTGTGCAAATGCTAGTGCTGCACATCAGATATCCTGTGTTGTCATCCTGAGATGATGGTGGTCTTGATTAAGCTCTCATAGCGGTTGAAATGTATTTCCACATGTTAGTCAAACTTCCTGAAAGCTTCGTTCGCATCACTGTGGCTTTAAATGAGTTTGTGGGCACTGTTTCAGGGCATCACGTTGAAAATGAACGACTTGAACCATTGCATCGTGGCAAGAATAATGCATGGAGGAATGATCCACAAACAAGGTACATGCACCAGATCGGTTTTCCTTCAAAATCCATTATCTTCACCCAACGCTGCTATATTGAGATCCACTATCCTTCCATCTCTCCTGTATTTCCATTATCTCCATAAACACTTCACAAATCCCTCAACCTCAAGTCTCCTAGAACTTGGCAGCAGTGTGACACTGACGTACAAGCCTTACCCACATGCCACACACACATGCCATCAACAAGTATCTCCTACATGCATCCTGCAAGCGGGACAAGCTTATATTAATTAAGATCTCATGCAGTTAAAGTAGTTAAGTTTTCAATTTATGAAGGTTGTAAGACTAGCGATGTTTATTGACGCATTTAACATGTTGCTTTGTAACAAATCAGGAACTTTGCATGTTGGAGACGAGATCCGGGAGATCAACGGCATAAGTGTAGCAAATCAAACGGTGGAGCAGCTTCAGAAGATGCTTGTGAGTAGGAACATAGCATATTTCCAGCTGTGCCCCTCTTAAAAGAAAGTTTACCCAAAAATTAAAATTTTGTTACCATTTAATCACCCTCATGTTGTTTGAATTATGATTTTTAATCTTTCATGGAGGTACCTAGCAAAATGTCCAGACTCACAGACGGCAACTAGTGGCGACTGTCTCTAAAATTGTGTTCCATTTGAACATTAGTGCCCTGCAAAGTGGACTTCACAGGGCATTCCAACAACTGTAAAGTGGAATGGGTGTAAAGTGTGTGTGAGACAACCGTTACAATGCAGCTATCATCATTACAGTTAAATAAGAAAAAAGACACATCTAAAATAACCAAATTGTGTTTGATCAGACATGTATCACTCTGATTAATGCAGAATAACACAGAGACTCTTTATTATATACTTTTTCCATTTGTATTCCTTGAAAAAAAGAACGTGATGAGTAGATGACAAAATTTCATTGGAGTCTCTTAAACAGGCATTAAACTTTGCTACCATTATGCAGACATAATCCAGTAAAAATGCCCTTTTTTAATAATTAGCTTTTTCTTTATCTTTTGACAGCGAGATATGAGAGGCAGCATCACCTTTAAGATTGTGCCAGGCTACCGCATACAGCAGTCATCCTGTGAGGTAATGGCCTCTGTGGCCTTTGCACTGTCCCCTGCTCTGTCTCTGCCAGTCTCCTCTCTCTGCAGTGCTTGTCTCCCTGGCCTATCATGGCCTTTTGTGGTGGGGTTTGATTGCCGTGGATTCTTGTGTGACTAACTGCCTGCCTGATGGCTGTGTGTTAACGCTTTTCTCCCCAAAAGCCTCCATCCTGCTGGACCAAAAGGCCTGGCTCAGACACTACCGCACACCAATTTCACAACCAAGATACCGGAACCCTTGCTTACGTATTGCCAGTGTTGAGGGAAGTTTAGATGTACAATGTGAGAATGTTTTACAAGCTGTTCATAAACAGTTTTGCAGCATTATTCGCAATTTAAAAGTGAATCTGTACCATGTTGATTACAGAAATAAATTTTTTATAACACTCACCTTCCATATCACACTACTACTGAGAGGATGTTGGCATTAAAGTGGTCAGTTTTCACTTGGAGTACCTTCACACAGTAAATCTTCGAAGGAAGATGTTTACATGTAGACAATTGCGTTGGCTCCCTCTTTTGTTGGGAAGCTGCAATGCGGTCTGATGATCTGTAGCATTACCATGCTTTAAAAATGTCTTTTTATTAACTTTAATCTCAAGCAAATCTTTTGGTTTCCCTTACACGATGTCCCCTATTTCTTACCGCAGTGTTGGCTAGTGTCCGTTTGCTCTGCTGTTTCGCTGACCTCTGTATCTTATTACAGAAAGAATCCCCCTCCACCTCCAGACAGTCCCCTGCTAATGGCCATTCCAGCATTAACAGTTCTATCTTGGTAAGGATCCCAGGCAACCTCAAATAACGACCCCCTTCCCACCCCCCAACAATCTCCTAATGTTGTTTGTGATTATTTAACCCCCGTTCTTGCAATCATACCCTCTTAATTTGCACCAGATGTTATTCAATTTGATTAATGTCCAGTTTTATGGTTTTGTTTTGTTTTTCCAGTTAGTTTTTTTATATATTTCACTAGAATATTTTAATCTCAATACACAAATAACACAAATGCAAAGACTGAACAAGACGGAGTTTCCTAGTTTCCGTTATCTCAGTTCACAAATTGGTGTGCTCTGTGCTGCTGTAGCTCACTCACTCTGACTGCCAGTGTGATTACAATTTGTGGTCCCAGGCACACTGTACAGTGGACGTGGGATCTGCCGTTATACTTTTTAATTAAATATTGCTCTTTGTTAGTGCAAGTGACGTATTTTGGCTGACAGCAAGCACAATGATTAGGCCAAACTCATTGGAGGCATGCAAAGGATTCCTAGCATAAAAAGCATGCATACTTCTAACAAAATGCAGTGAGATCTACATTAGCACTGCATATGAACTATATATATATATAAATGGATATATTCTTAAAAAATGTTCTAAGCAGAAAAATATGTAATTAATAAAATATATATATTTTTAATATTTATTAAAATATTCCTATTATATATCAACATAAATAAGTACTGTAATACATAATAATAATTAATAAATATTTGCTCAATAAATTATTTCATTGAAATGTTCTTGCAATTAGTTAAATATAAGATAAGCTGCTTTTTCTTTATACTAATGTAATTCTCTTTTCAGTAAAATTCGATTACATTCAGTAAATATATATTGTCACTGGCCAAAATTTGAAATAATAACATTTGCTAATATCGCCCACCCCTGAAATGGACTCAGTGGGACCCTCTTGCTGTTCTTCATAGAGGAGGGTTAGTCTCCACCTCATGAACATGCTTGAATGTAGTGTGGTGCTGAAGCTGCTTGCTTGCTCCTTGCTTTCTTGTGTGTTGCTGTTCAGAGATTTATCCTCAACAGCCCTTCTTCTCTTTTTAACACATGCATACACACAAAATGAAGTAACATTTGTGTTCCTCCCTTGTGGAGATAGCATTGCTCCCAGTGTTTTTAATCAGAATTTATGATGTAATGTTATGTTTTGTTGAATGTATATTACTTTTAATAGTTATTTAGTTGTTTCATGAGTCAATGTCTGCCTTTCCTTTGTAAATGGTCAGTCTCTCTTTTACTGCTGGGCTTTGCTTTACAGGACTTGCCGTTAACCATCCAGCCAAAAGGACGCCAGGTGAATAGAACATCCATCAGTCTTACCACCCTCTATTGACTAGCGCTTTTCCATACTGCTTTTGTGCTTGAGATTGAATGAACAAGTTAGTGATTCACCGCTATTAACATCCTGCTTTCTCAATCAGTTCTTGCATTAACACCATTCACCATCTGACATTGTGATTTTTACATTAGCAATAGTGTTTAGCTGCTCTACAGACAGACTGACTTGCAGGTTGTAGTGTTATTGCATTACATAACAACAAGACTCTAAATGCAAAGGACTGGTTATTAATGCCTTTTTTTGTAATTACTAAAAAAAGTTTAAATAAATTTCAAGGGCATTATCATTTTAACATAGATTTTTAGTCTTACAGATGGGTTATTCTATGCATTGAACCAGTTGAGAAAATATCAAAAACAAGCTTTGAATTAAATGTAACAATTTAGTAGAATTTTACCTCTATTCCATTTTAAAATAAATAAGTTTATTAAATAAATTAAATTATTAATTTATATTTATTTATTAAGGAAGTTCAATTATTGTGTTGTGACGAGTGTCCTCACAGACAGTAGATTACACTAAAGACTATAACAGCTAAGAGATGAAGATACGAAAAAGACCGTTTTCTCGTAAATACCCATTTGAACCGACTTTTTAGACAGTATATCAACTCTAAGACTGTTTTTCTTTTTTTAATGCATTATTCCAAATAAACCATAAAACTGTTGGCACAGAATGTCCTAACTTTTATTCGCACTCTGTAAGACTTTTAGCTTTGTTAAAGAATGGATCAGGTATTCCAGATCGGTGTCTCTTTCTTATCCTAACCCCATGCAGTCTCATGCTTCTCTACTGGCCCTGGGCTACAGAGTGGTGTGTGTTTCCTCTCACATCCCATCTAGATTACCCTGCAAATCAACAAAGCTGACAACATGAGGGATCAAAGAGCCCATCGCAATTTGTTTTGGTAATTTCTAGTCCTCGCCTTGAAGCACTGTGTCCTGATAGGATGAAAAGTAGAAAGGGAGACAGGCAATCAGCAGAGGGCGCCATCTGCCAGCACGGTCCATCTGTGTTGGCTGAAGGACGTCACTGAGTGATGGAAATTATGTACTGTTACAAGTGATGAGAACACAGTGACGTGACTGACTTCACCACCCTGCTTTGTTCCTTTTTATCAACCCATGACTTTTCCAAACGTTAGCCTTTATAGATGCATTCTTCATCTCACCAACCCGTATCACACTGCTGTACTAATGCCACCACAGTGTCATGATATTGCATGATGTTTGTAATACTCTCATGCCCTAGATCTCCAGACCTCCAATCAAGGATAAATTTTCCATCAAGGTAAGATTTTAAAGAATGAGCCCAATCCACAGCAAGTACTCAAAAACAATTACATCATCAGTGTGATTCTTTGAAAATATAACGTTAAGCTTTATTTTACAGTGTTTGTACTTATTGGCCCCTTTCAGTCAATTCTATGTCATTTCTTTTTAATCCGGGAGTCACACACCACTCTACCCTCAGACTGCAGTTCGGTACTCTACTGCACTAAAGGTCCACCGAGGACTCCGTCACATAACTCACTCTCTTACATACTTAAATGCATCATCTGTTTGCCGTCATGCTCAGACTTCATAGCGTGCTGCTTCAGCCACGCATGCTTCTCATTGCAACCAAAACTTGTACCCTGACCTGCAGCTGTACCTTGACCTCCTCTTGTACACTGACCTCTATCAGTCAGTCCTTTCCTTTGCGATGTCTGTGTCACTGTAGGGCATTTCTGACTTCCACTGACCATGTCTCTTCTCAGATCTTTGTACGGGCACAGTTTGAGTATGATCCGGTGAAGGATGACCTCATCCCCTGTAAAGAGGCAGGGATTCGCTTCAGGGTGGGTGACATAATCCAGATTATCAGCAAAGATGACCATAACTGGTGGCAAGGCAAGCTGGAAAACACCAAGAATGGCACGGCGGGACTGATTCCCTCACCTGAACTTCAGGAGTGGTGAGTTTGGTTCTTTCCAGAAGATTGTGATTGGCTGTTGCTGAGGGTAGAGGGAAAGAAGATACAGTACAACGCAAGTGGCTCTCAATACAATTTAAAAGTACTCAAAGATGTACTATCATCAAGGCTAACAGATATGCTGCACGCTAATGTTAATCTAATTGATCTTTTGTTTGTTTTGTTCTAGGAGGGTGGCTTGTATAGCCATGGAGAAAACCAAGCAAGAACAGCAGGCAAGCTGTACTTGGTTTGGCAAGAAAAAAAAGCAGTACAAAGACAAATACCTAGCAAAGCACAACGCAGGTAGAGTTTCCGATGGGTTTTCTGCACCTTTCCTCTCTGTTCATACAGGCACCAGCTACATACTGGTCAATCAGCTCTTTCTTATTAGTGATCTGATTAGTAATCTTTATGTGCCCCATAAGCAAGAGTAAAATCAAATAGTAAGTTTACTGATGTGGGTGTATGATGTCACACAAAAATAGCGGCTCCCAGGGAGATGTACACAATTATTGATTAGCGATAAACATTCACTTTTAAGAACGTTACTGCCTTTTTAGCAAATGTTTGTACAGACAAGTGTAGGAAATGCAAAAGGGTCATTCATAAAATGGCTGCCTTTTCTAGTTTGAGAAGTACATTTTGTAAGATTTTAATCATTCTATCAGATAAATGTTGCATTGTGCCATCTTAAGTAAAGAAAAACATTGTCATAATTATACAATATATGTCATATATTGTTTTATATTATATATTAAAATGTATTTAGCTTGAGATGTACAGTATTTACAAAGTATATTCTAAAGTTTGGGGTCAGTAAGATTAAAAAAACTAATATTTTTCTATTTCACATAAATGTGGTTCTTTTGAACTTTCAGACAGAAACAATCAGAATCCTGGAAAATATGTTAAATTAGAAAATTGTAATAATATTTCACAAAATTACTGTTTTTACTGTATTTTATGGATTAAGAGACTTATGAAAATCAAAACCATTAAAAAAAATCTTACTGTCCCCCAAACTTTTGAGCAGTAGTGTTTGTCTTCAAAAGGATTTTCAGTTTTTCCATTTAATTTGACATTTGTAACTATTGTGCTCAAGTTGACATTACACTCTTTTAAAAAGAGAATTTAATGCTGGTATTTGAATGAATTGAAATATCTACTTTTAAATTTTCAGTTGTTTACTACACAAAAACCATAGGAACAGGGTTGGCTTTTTTCAGTCTCTTACTGACAAACATATCAAAACAAAATAAAGTAATAAAAAAGAGACCATAACTCATACAAGATCCGCTTTATAGAAGTACCTGGTAAATTCTACTCTTTAGCCCAATTCAGACGGTAATTGTTTCTCATGGGGACGTAAGCTATTTTCAACATTTACAGGGGTTAGTCGGTGATTTTATTGCCATCCAAATCCAGAATGTCTGTGTTTTTCTTCCACCACCTGTGTAAAAAAATCGCCGGCTGAAATAGAAGGTCGTGTGGCAATTTAATTGCTGTCCAAATCCACATCTCAAGAAATTGATTCAAAATTCAATGTTTAAATCCTTTTTGACCACTGCCGAATACCGTACAGTAACTGTTGCACTTCCCTGTAATTTGCATGCATATTTATTACTGAAATGCTTGAAAGTATACAAGAACAATATTTCATAAATGCTCCACCACAGCGAGTGGCAGCTGTTAAGAACAAATAGAAAAAAAAAGAAAAGCACATAAACATTTGATTTGGTCCTTATGGCAGCAACAGGCATGCAATACAATTTTAAAATATGTATTATATACAACTATATGCATAAAAATATAAACCTAGCAGCGTTATGTTTACCTTACATAAATATGAGGTTGCAATAAGTTATTTCTGCTAATCTCCACATTTTTAATGACATCCATAATTTTGAGAGATAAATGCAAGACCGAAAACCATTTTAACTATAGTGTCTATTTTCAGATTTTTATACTGGAGATTTAATAATCAAATAATAGGATATTATTAAATCTGAATTTATTCTCATTATTCTGAGCATATGACATTTTATTTACAGCAGAATGACATTTTATTTACAACCATGTGACTGAGCACGTGAGCAGCACGTTCCCGAGTTCGTAGGATCACAGAACTTGCTTCTCTACTAAATCTGCATCTGAATGCATGAGTTTTAACGCTGAGGTGCCATGTAAATTTATTCTACAGACATCCACATGAAAAATTAGCTTTTGTTGACGATCAAATTCTACAATTTCTGTTTTATTTTTTTTCTACATCATTACTGTTGTCAGATATTCAGAAACAGTATACAGTATGATAAGAAGCACAAGAGAACACTATGTCGTTGATGGCCATTGCTAACTCAGTCCAGGAGGAACACTGTCAGGACGAATGCATGTATGTCTTTTTTATGTCGTGACAGTCTATAATTAGTATTATGTTTATATTCCTGCTTTTCAGTGAAAGCAGACTCATAGGAAGGTTGTCAGCAGTTGTTGCAAGAAACGTCTTCATTGAATGTTTCAGACTGTAGTTCAGAGGCTGTAGGGAGTGTTTTTTTGTGTGTCTAGTGGTAGGTATGGGCAGGTAACAGGGCCCTGTGCTGTCTAGCTCAAATAACCAGAGTTCGTGACTGCAGCATTTCCACAAATAGCAGGGTGACTTGTGCCAATACATAGCCAAGTAGCTATGTGTCTGATTCTGCCTGCTCTTCCTGAACCAATCAGTCTCTTAAAGGGGTCCTATTATGCTTTTTCACTTTTTTAATTTTAGTCAGTGTGTAGTGTGTATGTTTGGGCATAAAAAAAGATCTAAAAAGTTACAAATCCCAAAGTTCACTCCAAAGGGAGATATTTAGTTCATAGAAAAGAATGTATTCGAATGTTAAAAACGTGTCGCAACGCTGCGCTTCTCGTCCGGTGTGCGACCGCCTGAAACGCTGTTTTTTTTTCACTTCCGAAAGCGGATGATGTCAGGAAACAGTGGTTGCAATTTACTTTTTAACTCTGTTCCTGAGCATTATAACCCCAATTTGTTATTGTGTGCTGCGCATTTTACTGAGGACAGCTTCCACATCACAAGTGAGAAGTGCCGGATTCCCAAAAGCTTTTGTTGAAAGACAGAGCAAGAGGCGGGGCAGTACTGAAACACCGTCTAAGCTGTTCGCCAATCACAACGCGCTGGGACAGCTAACCAATCACACATCACATTTTGTTTTTCGGAAGGCGGACCTTCATCAAAGCCGGAACTAATCGAGCCGTTTGTCCCAGCCTGGGGAGAAAGGTATTTTAATAATGTAAATTATGTGAAGAATAATGCGTTTTTCGAACCACCAAGCATGAGAGCATGTTCTAGTACACCCCCAAAACAAAATCAAGACTTTGTAAAAGAGCATAATAGGACCCCTTTAAGAGTGCTCCAGAATCTTTCATTTTGCTTCAAGTACCAAAGGGGCTCATTAAAGCCAGCCACAGTGGAAACCTGGGTCGTTATCGCTGATGAGCACACCTGCATATGTAAACTACTATGCAACAAGTGTGTTTATGCGTGTGTTCTCATGGGCAACGCGAAGGCCGTAAGTGAGACGCCCACATTTTCAGTAAGAGTTTGTGGTTGCTGGTAAAGGGCCAGGGGAGAGAAAAAGCGGAACTCGTATGTTACTTATGTGAACGGATTAAGTTCATGTCTTCATCATGGCTTCAGGTCCAAACCAACACACAGACCTCCACTGAAGATGCACCTGTATATGTGCTCTTGGATGTACTCTGAGATAAATTTTACAACCTCTATATAAATCAATCCTGAAATTATGAAAGGTGGCAATTATATGATCTCATTGGAAGCATGGTGAACCCCACCGCATTTAACATCTTATATAAGCAAGTCATTTAGGTCCTGCAGTCTGTAATATTAGCAAACACAGGGTCAGGTTACTATCTTCGAACACACAGGATGTTAAACGACGCCATCGTTCCTTCTTGTCAAGATTTCCCCAATGGTGTGGAATAGATTAAAAGTGAATTTGTTAGTTCAGTGATGAAGACTCCACTAAATCATAAAGCCAGAAGCATGTTCTGTGCAAGTATGTGAATTTAAACTCTTAGCTACACTACCTTGTTTTCACATTGTTGCATTATGCAGTGTTTCTGAACACAATTTATGATGCAAGAACACTATCATTCAAAAGTTTGTGGTCAGTAAGATTTCTTTTAACAAATAAATGAATGCTTTTATTAAGTAAAAAAAAAAAAAAAAAAAAGCTCATTAAATTGTGACAGTAAAACGTTTTAAACAAAGATTTCTATTGCGGTTTCCAAAAAATTATGCAGCACAACTGCTTTCGACATTAATAATAATGTTTTAGAAATGTAGAAATGTTTCTTAAGCAACAAATCAGGATATTAGAATTAATTCTGAAGGATCATGTGACACTGTAGACTAGAGTAATGGCTGCTGAAAAATCGGGTTCGCCATCACAGGAATAAATTATATTTTAGAATATATTAAAGGGTTAGTTCACCCCAAAATGAAAATTCTGTCATTAATTACTCACCCTCATGTTGTTCCAAACCCGTAAGACATTCGTTCATCTTCGGAGCACGAATTAAAATATTTTTGATGAAATGTGAGAGCTCTCAGACCCTGCATAGACAGCAACGCAACTGTAATGTTCCCAGGTCCAGAAACATAGTAACAGAGGTGTAAAGATTACCTAAAAACCATACTTGAGTAAAAGTACAGATACCTTACAGTGAAAATTACTTCACTACACGTTACAAGTCACCAATTCCAAAACAACTTGAGTAAAAGTCTTAGAGTATCTGATTTTAACAGTACTTAAGCATTTTACTTATACTAAATATAGGCTCAAAGATGCACTAGCCAAAGAGACATGCCAGTGATAAACTGTAACATTGTTGTGGAGAAGCTGCGGAAAACAGTCAGAGGCAAGGATCTATGTGCAGGTATTTCATGGAAAAATTAGAACAAACAATAAGGCAAAAACCAAAGGGAACAAAGAACAGAATGACTGGCAAACAGACAACCATTACATTCAACAACTCACAAAGAACTAAAGAAACACTATGGCTATATAAACACACAGGGGGCTAACAAGCTTAACAAGATAACAAGACACACCTGGGGAGACTAATCAAGGGGAACCAATGAACAAACAGACTACAAACTGACTACAAACACCACGGGAGACGGGAAGTGACAAAAGTCCAGGGCAAGGCACAGAGAGCATGAAACAAAAACAAGAAAGAGTTGATTTGTAGGGGGAGCAATCGCGTTTATTTTCTAAAAC